TTTTATTTTGCATGTTCGTTATAAGCGTTACATGACGTATAGCATTTTGATAAACAGTATGACATATAATATTATATTCAGACTTCGTACAAACAATTTACAATTGAGTAACAGATTAGCTTTTTTTTCAACTGGTTACGAAAAATAAAACAATTTATGTATGCAACATTATTAGCGATTATTTGTCCTGTGAGTTTCCCTCCTACGAATCTGAGAGAGTGCTCGTGTATTCTATATATCCTCACTCTATTGTGAATTAAGTCTAACACCCTAAGTATAATCTTTGAGATAGGCTTTCCATGGTTCCCACATTGTTTGGCACAGCTGTGATTTCCCTATTGTAGACATCCTTAGTTCCTCCAGTTTATATATATCATCAATTCTCCTGAACCATTCTCTCCTTGACGGTCTTTTGCTAGTTTTCCAGAGCCCTGCTATTACTACTTTAGCTGCGGTAAGGAAGTAAAGTATTAATGAGTTTCGAAACGTGCGCATAGTTACCGGGATGTTGTAAAAAAGAAGTGATTCGGGTGTAGCTTGGATAGTTGTGCCACTAAGTTTGCCTGTAATCCTCGCCACCTCTCTCCAGAACCCCAATACTCTGTTACACGACCACCATATGTGTTGGTATGTGCCTCGTTCTTGCAGACATCTCCAACATAGCGGTGAGGTATCGGTATCGTATTTGTTGGCGTCTACAGGTGTTATATACCAGTGGGAAAGAAATTTAAAGTTTGGTTCTTGTATTGTTATGCTAGGGTGTGATTTCATCATTTTAGTGAAGGTAGTATGCCATTTTTTTTCTTCCCACGGGGTTGATAACCATTGTTGGTGTTTTGCAGTGAACCACGGGAGAGAGTTGTTCGTACATTCTTGGATTAGTTGATAACACTTAGATACTATTTTGGTTTTCGGCGGCGTGGAGCAGAGCTTTTCAAATTGGGTCTCTTCCCTTGGCTGCCAGTGTAAGAGTCCTTCTTTATGTAGAAAATGTTTTAGCTGATGATATTGGAATGTTTGAGTCATGGTTGGATAGTGTGTGTCCGCAAGGTCTGTCAGTGGTAATAGTCCGTCCCTAGTGACTAGGTCTCGTAGTGTTATATTTCCGTCCCCCGGGTTAGGTATGGTCTTACTCATATTCCTGATGTCCCTGCCTGCTGGAAATCTCGGATAATGAGCAATCGGGAATCGTGGCGAAGGTGTCGGTGTGAAGTGGCGCATTGGATTTATATTTGCCCATACTTCAAGAGTGGCCCCTATGGTGGGTAGGTCTTTTGGGGAGTTTCCTTTGCCTGTCAGTACTGTCCATGGGAGATATTGAAGAGGGGTTGCTACTTGTGATTGTTCTATTTGAACCCATGCTTTAGTGCCTGTCTCTCTTGACCATTCCAGTATCCTCCCTAGGTGTATTGCCTTATGGTAATTCTGGATGTGTGGGCATCCCAATCCCCCTCTCCCCTTTGGTTTGGTCAGTACATTGAAGGCTAAGCGCGGGCGCTTCTTTGCCCATATAAAAGTTGTAAGTATCGACTGAATTGAGCGAAAAAAGGCAGTCGGGATATGTATAGGGATAGTGTTCAGAAGATATAAGATGCGTGGTAATATATTCATGGATATAATGTTTATTCGTCCCATCCATCGAAAATGTGGTTTATCTCATCTATCTAAGTCTTTTTTGATTGTCGTGAGTATGTCAGGGAAATTTTCTCTATATAGGGTTTTATGAGTGTTAGTTATTTTTATCCCGAGATATTTGATGGAGTTGGGCGCCCATTGGAACGGGTATTTGCGTTGCAGGCTATGTACCTGTCCAGGGGGCAAGTTGATGTTGAGAATTTCGCATTTGTCAATGTTGATTTTGAAGTTAGAGACTTTACTGTACTCGGATAGAGCTATTGTCAAGTGGGGCAAACTGTGTAATGGGTTTACAATGGTGAATAGTAAGTCATCGGCAAAGGCCGACACTTTATATTCCTGTTGGTTAACCCTGATGCCTTGTATATCAGGATTGTGTCGCACTGCCTGTATAAGGGGTTCTAGAGAAAGAATAAACAATAGAGGGGATAATGGGCACCCCTGTCTGGTGCCGTTACTTATCTTAAATGGTTTTGAAAGTTGGCCATTTACCTTTAGGCGGGCTGTGGGCTGAGAGTATATGGCTCTTACCCATTGGATCCATCTGTTACCAAATCCCAACATCTCAAGTGTGGTTATAAGGAAGGCCCAGTCCACCCTGTCAAAGGCCTTTTCTGCGTCTATTGCCAGGAGTAGTGTTGGGGTTTGTGTGTATGAAGTGCAATGAATTAGATTTATAATTTTGGATGTGTTATCTTTTGCTTCCCTAGCAGGCACAAAGCCTGCTTGGTCTGGATGGATTAGATCTTGGAGAAATGGTTTAAGTCGCAAGGCCATCATTTTAGTAAAAATTTTTATATCCACATTTATGAGAGATATTGGCCTATAACTGGCGCATTTCTCCAGATCGTTCCCTGGTTTGGGTAACAGCGTGATTGTCGCCTCCAACGCCTGACTCGGTATAAGGTTGTGTTGTGGGATAGAATTGATTGCTTCTAGCAGGTGCGTATTAAGTTCCGCTTGAAACATCTTATAGTAGGAGGCCGAGAACCCGTCCGGACCCGGGCTCTTGTTGTGTGGTGTCTGTTTGAGTGCCAGTTTGAGTTCATCTAATGTGAAGGGTTCTTCTAATGATCTTGTCGCCGCAGGCGGCAGAGTTGTGTCGAATTTGTTCTCCAAGAAGTTTCTCAAGTCTTCTATGTTGGGTCCCTTCTCTTTCAGATTATATAGTGAGGTGTAGTATGTGTGGAATGTATCGGCTATTTCTTCTGTGGTGTATGCGAACGACTCATCTGAGCGTTTGATTTTGGGGATGTATGTGGGCGCCTGCTTTTGTTTAAGAGCTTGTGCGAGTAGTTTGCCACACCTGTTTCCCTGCGCATAGTATCTGTGTTTTGTCCATAGGATGGCTTTCCGAGCCTTGTCTTGTAGTAGTGCAGTAAGTTCCGTCCTATGGGCGAGTAGTGAACAGTAAATTGCGTCCGTCATGTCAAGTTTGTGAGCGTTTTCTAGTTGTGCAATTTTTTTGTAAAGTTCCTCAATCTGTTTATTTTTTTCCCGTTTGATTTGGGCCCCCCATTTTATTAGTTCTCCCCTTACTACTGCCTTATGTGCTTCCCATTGCACAAAGGCAGAGGTATCTGGGGTTTTATTTTCTTGGAAGTAGAGCCTGATCGTGTTCTGTGTCGCTTCTCTAACTGTTTTTGTTTGCAGCAGGTTGGGATTGAGTTTCCATAGTCCCTTGGGTCTGGGGAGGGAGGGGACAGTGACTGTGAGGTAGATAGGAGAATGGTCCGACCAAGTCATTGGGCCTATGGAGGTGTCTGTTACCAGGCTTAGGTCTCTATGGGAAATCAGGAAGTAATCTATTCTAGAATAAGATTTGTTCGGGGATGAGTAGTGTGTATAGTCTTTAGATGTTGGATGATATATCCTCCAGCAGTCTGCTAATTGATGTGTGTGGATGATGTGTTGCATTTGTAATCTTGTGGCTGTGAGATGTTTACAGCTAAGAGACGTGCTATCTTTTTTGGCATCTAGCGAGACGTTAAAGTCTCCCCCCATGATAAGTACGCCGTTTGCATGTTGTTTAATTTTAGCCAAGATCTTTCTGAGTGCCCCGCATTGGTGTTTATTGGGGAGGTATATAGAGACAAGCGTAATTGGGTGCGTCCCCACCGTGCCCTGTAAAATGATATATCTGCCTGATTCGTCTGAGATGTGAGTGGAGTAAGTGAAAGGTACGTTAACTCCTATTAGTATAGCTACTCCTCTGGATTTACTCTTGTTATAATTATTATAATACACTTGTTTGAATTTCGGGTGTTTGAGTTGTGGTGCATTCGGGCCCTTTAGGTGAGTTTCTTCGAGAAATGCAATGTCTGTTTTATTTTTCACCAGGTCCGTTAGCACCATTTTTCTTTTTTCTGGAGTATTAAGCCCTCTGACATTTAAGGAACATATTCTCAAAGATCCCATGATCCTAAATCTGTCTATTCTAGGCGCCTAGTTGCGCTTTGGATAGTGTTGGTTGAATTTAGAGTTATGTGTATGTGGTGTTTACGTGAGTAAGAGGATACTTTGTGTTGGGAGAGAATATGTTTGAAGGCTTGGCGTATGAAATTTCACAGCACAGGAGTTCAACAACAAATAATTCTAAAAGAACAGAAAATTAACTATTTACAATTTTAACTGGAGTATTTATCGAACTTGGCGTCCTACGAGGAGTAGTTCTAGTGAGAGGTTGAACTTCCTCGTGGATTAATAGAGGCCGGAAACACTTAGCTATATAGGTTTATATTATGGGATAGTCTTTCCAGACCCCTATGAAGGAGACGGTACAATTCCCTGACTATATCCAGTAATTTTATACTGGCTCAGGGGTAAATATTACACACAATCAGAAACGTTGAGCTTTTAGGTAGGTACCGCTCAGGACCTCAACTGGTCCTAATTTATGTCCGGCGGGAGCGTGGACACTTCGACTAAGAGTGATTTGTTCACTTCGGGTTTAAATCAAGGGTAGATCAGCTGGATGCAACTTCGGCACCTGTGCAGCTTCCCCTTAGGCGGTCACGTTTCACTTTGCATAGTAGTACTGGACGAGTACTGGGCTCGATTGTGATTAATTTCTGTTGTGATCTACCTGTAAAGCCTGATTTTGTGGTTATAACCGCTCTTAAACCTAAATCACCTTTCTCGGTGTGGCCTTACAGTTCTCAATGCTATAAATATTAGTTAACCAAAACATTAAATGTACATTTGTACCAACTTATCGGTAGATCTATAAGACATATTTCTACTGTTCATAGTTACCGCTTCCAGAGCCCTTGAGGTGGGCGTTTTCAGAGTTAACAGTCTGACAATGAAGATGTGCATTATCATTGTGGGTACTGTACCCATGTTATATGTCCTTTCGTCTGTACTCAGATTATTTTCCTCGGGGTCCCTTGCGGTCTCTTCGGTCTCATGAAAGGCGATGCAGGTGGGGTCTTCCACGTCGTCCTCCTTCTTGTATCTGCAGCTTGACCTTTCATTCTTTGAGGAGGAGGTGGAATTGATTCGGGTTCTGTTATGTCGTACCAGTCCTGAATATCAATATTGGGTATACCCAGGCGCTGAGTGAAAGCCTCTGTTTCCATCGCCGATGTTAGTGTGGCTTGGGCGCCCTGATGTGTGGCTGTCAGAGAGAAAGGATATCCCCATCGGTATTTGATGTTGGCCTGTTGTAGTGCCTGTGTGAGTGGTCTCAGGGTTCTTCTGCCTCTCAAAGTAAGCCACGCCAGATCTGGGAGAAGCAATATTTTTGAGTTGTTGTACATAATGTCTGCAGTGTCTCTGGCTTGCCTCATGATGGCTTCCTTTTCAGAGTAATAATGTACTCTGCAGATCACATCTCTGAGGGAGTCAAGAGAGATATGTTTAGGCCTCAGCG